ACTTTTGAATTTTATATTCTTACTTAGCAAGATTAAGGAATTCAATAAGATCTAATTAACTCTCAAACAAACTGTAATAACAAGTTTTGTAATTTTCTTATGTCATTTTTCATCAAACAAGCAGAGTGAGCATATAATTGTAAATGAATATGTTGAGGCCAATTCAAAATCTTGATTATGATGTAAATCAAGTAATAATATAATTTTGAGAAATTTTTATAAAGCACTATCTTTTAGTGATAATTAGTTATCTATAGATATCATTTGCTATTTTACGGATTGTAGGTACGTTTTCTGTTGTTATAAGATGTATTTGATGTATTTAAGCTATTGTATTCATGAATACAGTAGCATTTCTAGGCGTGAAACAGGGGATTACAGCTAGAACAGATTTTTCTATTCGAGTGTATTCGACTGTATTCATGGCGTGAAACATGGGATTACAGCTGCACAGATTATTGTATTCGACTGTATTCACGCCAAGAAACAGGGGATTACATTGATTTTAAACGAAAAGTGAATCAATTAACATAATCGACTCCTAATATAACTCAACAAACTCAATTACAACACACAAATTTTGTATTTCCAGTTATAAAAAAGATTCTCAACCGAAAAATACCCCAAAAACATAGCAATCTTCAGAGAAATTATATAATACATCTGAATACATAAATTATATTAATTACAAAAAACATATGAATACATTCATGGCATATAGCGAGACAGTGAATACAATGAAATACATAGAATACAGCGGGATATATTTAAACACAATAAAAAAAAAGACAGTGAATGCAATGAAATACATGGAATATAGCGAGATATATTGAATTACAACGAAAAAATAGACAATGAATACAATGAAATACATAAAAATACAACGTGATACATTGAAAATACATTGAAATATATTAACAGAAAGCCAAGTTGCTCAGCCCCAAATTGAATTTCTGGACATGCTCGATAACCTTCCTAGTTTTATCATCAACAAATTGAATCCTCGTATATTGCGGCAACTTTCTTTGAAGATCAAGTTCAACCTTAACCCTAGCTGTGCTAGGTCTAGACCTTTCTTGCGTGGCCTTATCAATAGCAATGGGCTTACCTGCTGCTGAGGCAATAGACAGCAGTGATTTCTTCGCGAACAACATAGACGGCAGATTCGGAAACGAGATCCAAACAAAGGCTCTTGAGATTCAACCTTAACCCTTCTGATGTTAATTTGATGGAGAGGTCTGCGCATCCATGACAGCCTATACTACACCATGTCGCCTTAGAGAGAGAGGAGAGATGAGAGAGCGTGGGTCTTTTGACTAATGGTAGGTGATGTGGGTGAGAGGAATTTTGAGATTGAGCATCGTGTTTTCAGGGAATGGGGGAAGAGAATGGCATGTATCAAAGTAGAGAGAGAAAGAAAATAGTGTAACTGAATAGCATATTTAGTAGCTTAGGGGTAGGAGGTAACCAAAAATTAGATATTTTGCTATAAGCATTAAAAGGTATCTATAGAATATAATTTTTTAAAATGGTATTTATTTAAAATAAATAAGGTGTTAACCTTTGCTATAGGAGGTAAAAATTTCTATGATTTTCTATCTTCACATTTTAGCTCTTACGACTTTTATTTCATTTTAAGATTATAAAAGTATCCGGTTTTATTCAATAGTCAATACTAAACCAAGAGGAAATAACAGAAGCACACAACAAGAGCTAATCCTATTTTAAGTACACCTTATATGTACTATACATGAATTCTTTCTGTACTTCATGTCTTTTCACGGTTATCCACCCCTCAGAAAAAATTCAAAAAGAAAAAAGGAGGAAAAGAGAAAAAAGAAAAGAAATTTTGAGTGAAGAATTTCCCATTTGAGATTATAGTGGGTATGTTATTGTTGTTGTTGTTGTTTCTGAATCTCCCATTCGTTCTTTTCACTATTGCTGTTTGACCAAAAAAGGATTAAACCTTTTGGTTAAATCAATTAATAATAAGAAGAGGAGTGAATCTTAGTTAAGGATAATAAATCTAAGACCAAATGACAGGTAGAATAGACAAAATGAAAGGCGTTAGTTAATGTGTTTGAGTCGGTTAAATGCTCATAAATACAACAACATAAATGCGCAATCAATTTAAATAGATACGATCGACGTAATCATAGAAAGTTGCTACCCAATTATTGAGATCTTTCGAAGAGCTTCTTTCCTTGATAACAATGTGGAAAGAAGAGAGATACGAGATGTTTGAGGAATCTTTTGGCCTTGTCAATGTAGAACAACAATGTATCTTTTTGTAATGCAATCAATGAATAAGGCTTTTCTAGTATATTTTCTCAGATAAATCTTTTACAAGGTGTTCCTCTGTCTTTTTTCGATCCCCCTTTTCTTTACTAACTCTTCTTCTTTATAAGGGATAATCTCCCAAGAAACCCTAAAAAGTACAACATAAAGAATATTCGAAAAGCATATTCTTACTGTCTCCTCCTAAGTTTCACTACCGTTAACACCTCATTTCGACCGACCGTTCTTGGTCGTCGTCCTTTATCACGACGACCATCAGACGTTGCGTCATGATAATATCGTCCCTTGTCCTACTCGATTACTGTCGTGGTTGCTAAATTTGGACCCATACAATGGCGCCAAGGAAAAAGGAAGAGATATACATAAGCAATATTTTCGGGTAAGATAGAAATGGAATAGAAAATTAAAAAAATTTATTTTACAAAATATTGTCAGAAATTGAATCATTTTTTTTTTTATATTTTACATTTTTCTGGGCAGTTAATTAAAATTAGCAAATTTACATTTATCTAAAAAAATGATACGAAGATTCTAGGAGCCAAAATAATTAAAATGAAAATATACGATTAGTAAAACCTTTTAAGAAAAACATTAGTATGAAATAAGACGAAATAGGCATATTAATGTTAGAAGAATTGCGCATATAAAATTGTGGATTAGAAAAACTAATTTGTCAGTATTTTTTATAGAGCGGCCAATGCTGTAATAAGAAACATTTTCTTTGAACAAGATGGAAATTGTTTAAATTTATGGATAAGAGAATTGGAAAAAAATGATTTAAATTCTCCTATCTAATAAGGGAGAGTTAGCAGACACCTGGACGACATGCCTGCCTCACACTTCAGGGGTAGTATTGTCTTTCCATCTAATTTTTATTAGCTTCGCTTGGATTATATCGCCCACTTTAGAAAACCTGGCAACCACCGCTTCTTTGGCTTCTGTCTTCTTGCTCTTCTTGTTCTTATCAGTTACCTTCGCTTGGATTATATCGATCACTTCAGAAAACCTGGCAATCACCGCTTCTTTGGCTTCTGTCTTCTTACTCTCTTGTTCTTATCGGTACCAGGCAGACAGCTCTTTGAAAAAATTGGCAGATGCAGGTTCTCTATATCAAAAACCAATCTAGCAATAGTTTAAGAGCTCCAACGTCTGGAAATTGCAGTTTCCCAGTTCCACCTTTTCGCTCCTCCCAGTTGCTGATCTTATCGCCAATTTTTCTCTTTGGGTCATTATTTTTTGTGAGTTTTCTTCTTCTTATCTTCTGTTTCTCTATTTAATCTTTCATGGAATGCGAAGGCTTTGCTGCACAGAAGTTTAAAGTGTCTATAACCTTTGTTCTTCAGGTGTTCGAGGTAATTCCTGAATGAATTAGGTCTTTTTCAAGATTTCTCTTATTGTTTTAGGTTTAACTACACCTAACAAGAGCTCTCTTTTCTAACATTGCCCTGCCGTATTCCAGCTAATTAACCAATTATAAACTGAGCTTTACGCAATTCAATAAAAACAGACTATCATATGTGGTTTGTTAATTGACAAAAACTGATATTGCCTTTGATTTTCAGTAGCTATTTTCAAAAAAGTAACATTTGCCATTAACACAATTGAGCCTGTAACATTACAGAAATGTACTTATTGATCATTGGTTTATCCTTTAAAGAATTCCGTGATTAACTATTAGCTGCTCAAAACTCAAAAGAATTACCAAATCTAAAGTTTATAGATATCTCAGGGAAAGGAGGCTTTTCTTTTCTCTTCTTTAAAAGAGCAAGACTTTCGACATGTCTACTTGGAATCTTTTTAAAGAAGCTTGAAGGAATTTGAGTCATTTCTCATTAGCTATATACGTGCCCTTTGGTGCTCTCCCCAGATATACATGTAGATTTTTGGCTACTCTCACATGTATGCTAAAGAAATTATATTATTTTTGGATGACAAACAACTAAATGAATGTTGATGTGTTAAAGAAGAAGAAAGAAAGAAAAGAATAAATTGGGACAATTTTTTATGCTAGGTGTGCTAATTTGTTGTGAGCTTTCTTGTCATCTTCTGTTTCTCTGTTGTATCTTTTATGCCATGTTAAGCCTTTGTGCACAGGAAGTTTAATATGTCATGTGCTTCAGAAAATTCTTGATTGAATCAGTCTTATCATTGGCGGTAATTTTGATTTTGGATAAGCGGTAGGCAGTGACACATTTTTAGGCTTGAATATTTCATGAAAAATTTGGGCTGAAAATATTTTACAGATAAAAAGAAGTTGAACTTGTATAGCTGATGGATTCCAAAGAAGCAAACAGGTGCTCTTACGCGGAAAAAAGAAAGGCTACAATGCAACTCAAACGGCGTGATACGCAAAGCCAAATATCTGCTCATAGAAGGGAAGTGATGTTGCTATCGCGACGTATGAGAAGACAAGATTCTACTAAGCACAGCCTTCTTCAACACTCGATTTTCGCTGTCCCAGAGCAGTCAACATCATCTTGGGACAAAGCAGGATTTCTGAAACAAATTGGTCTTACCATACGAGAACCTCCTTCACTTCCTGAAAAAGGTTATATTGTTGTACTCATATTTACACACCATATATTATTAACGCAATAGTGCTTATGTATTTCGCTTGGAAACTAAGTATGATACTTTATTTATCTTATATGTGCCTATAAACTAAAATACTCAAATACTATGTGGTCTATTGCAGTCTATTTTGCACCTACAGAGGCTTCACTATATGCTTTTAAGCGTCTTTGCTATTCTGTTTACCAGTTGTCAGCCATCAAGCTTGCATGGCTACATCACAGGATAATTTAGAAAAAGGCAAAGGTATATTGGATCCCCCTATCATTTGTGAAACAGGTAACCATACGAGAACCTTTTTCGCTGCCTTTTTGGTTATATATTATTGTACTCATATTTATACGGAGAATATTATTAATATAACGATGCTTATTTTCCTTAGAGATTGAATATCACAGCTTATTTATCTTATATGTATCTATAAACTAAAAAACATAATACTACGTGCTCTTTTACACAGTATTTTGCATCTATTGAGGGTTCGTTGTACGCTTTTAAACATTTTGGCTATTTTGTTTACCAGCTGCTAGCTATCAAGCATGTATGACTACGTCATCTCCTAATTTAGACAAAGGAAAGGGTACATTGGACCCCCCTATCATTCGTGAAACAGGTAAACCTACATTCAGATTATACTCTTTTCAAAATGACATATTGTTTATACATTACTGTAAATTCTCCTATTTGTACAATAGGGTCCACATCGGGTACATCTAACCTGCGTCATGTTACCTTGAACACCGTACCAATCAAAGGTTTGCACAAACTTAATGTTACAATAATGTCCACCATACGTATGCTTTGGTGCTCCTTTTTTCCTAATGATACTTCTTATATATTCAGCTCATAGGCGGGCCAAAAAGGTGTGCCTGGTCACTAAAGAGCAACGAAGTGAGTATGTTGCTCTAAAAAGGTCCCAAATTGTCAATTTTGTCATGCAAAGAAGTTTGAATATGAACCTCCAGGATTTTGCTGTAACAATGGTTCAATAAGGTTGACATCTCATAAAATGCCAACTGAATTATCGGAGTTATACTTTGGAAATACTGAAGAATCTGAAAATTTCCGAACTTATATTAGAACGTACAATAACATGTTTGCATTTACTTCACTTGGTGTCAAGTATGATAAAGAGCTAGCGAGAAGAAATTGTGGTATCTACACATTTAGAGTCCAAGGACAAATGTATCATTTTATAGATGATTTAGTTCCTTCCAATGAAAAACCTAGGAATTTACAGCTGTACTTCTACGATAATGATAATGAACTAGCCAATAGGATGGCTTGTTCGACAAGAATTAATGAATCAATAGTGAAAAAGTTGATGGACATACTGAAGGTAAATCCATATACTATTTTCCTAAGATCTCTCTTAAATGTTCCTCAATTATCTGATTTCTATATTGCTCTTAAATGTCACTCAACCTTAGATCAACGAACATATAACTTACCCAGTGCATCAGAGATCGCGGCATTATGGCTTGAAGAAAATCCTAGAGACACATCTGCACCACATATTCGAATTTATACTCACAGTAATAGATCTCGGTTAGTACATTATTATTATGGATGTTATGATCCGTTGCAGTATCCATTATTATTTTCCTTCGGTGAAAATGGATGGCATTGTGGAATCAAAAAAATTGTTCAGACAAAAAATGTGACGAAACGTAGAGCTTACTGTGAACATGAACAATTGCCCAGTATATCAAATATGTGTTCAATTGATGGATTTCTTGATATGGAAGATGAATCACTACAAAAAGGAAAACGAAAAAGAGATACAGTATCTTGTCGAGAGTATTATTGTTACAAATTTCAACTAAGAGATAATGAAACAAATGAAGTGCTACATTGTGGGAGAATATTCCAACAATTTATAGTAGATGCATATATAAAGCTTGAAACGCAAAGATTAGACTTCTTCTCATTTAATCCAGATTTATTTAGAATTGAAGTCTTGCAAGGACTCCTTGATATTTTAAGATATGGTGAAAGGGATGCCTCTAAAATTGGAAAGAAAACATTCCTCCCTGTTACATTTATAGGGGGACCAAGGGACATGCGCCGGCGATACATGGATGCTATCGCATTGGTACAATATTTTGGAAAACCTGATTTCTTTATAACAATGACATGTAATCCTGCTTGGCCAGAAATAAAAGAACATTTATCACTGGTTGATGAAGTACAGAACAGGCCTGATTTAGTTAGTCGAGTTTTCAGAGCAAAGGTAGAAGAATTAAAGACGGATATATTAAAAAGACAAATCTTTGAAAGAGTTGCAGCATTCATGTATACTATAGAATTTCAAAAACGTGGTCTTCCACATGCTCATTTATTATACTTGCTGATGAGCACAAATTATTGACTCCTGAATCCTATGATAAATTTGTTTGTGCAGAATTGCCTGATTCTAAAAAAGATCGCGATCTATATTCACTTGTTATTAAACATATGGTGCATGGTCCTTGTGGAAAGTTAAATCCTACAAATATTTGCATGAAAAATAATAACTGCAAATTCAAGTATCCAAAAGATTTTGCTGAACAAACATCAAAAGGGAAGAATTCATATCCAATATACAAAAGGAGAAGAACCGGAGAAGCTGTAAAAGTAAGAGGTGAGTTTCTGGATAATTCTTGGGTTGTTCCATATAATCCATTTTTGCTATGCAAGTATAATTGTCATATGAATGTTGAAGTTTGTTCTGATATCAAAGTAGTGAAATATATTTGCAAGGGACACGATAAAATTGCATTACATATACATGATAATGATACAGATACAGACATAGATGAAATAAAAGAATATCAATCTGCTAGATGGGTTTCTCCTCCAGAAGCTGCATGGCGATTATTTGGTTTTCCCATAAGTGAAATGACTCCAAGTGTTTTTCACCTTCAATTACATTTGGAAGGACAACAATTTGTCTCTTTTAAAAGTATTGAAAATGTTGATAGAATACTGAGTAATCCAATGATTCGAAAAACAATGTTAACTGAATTTTTTGTTATGAACAGAACAGATAAAAATGCTATGCAACTGTTATTATTATATAAAGAATTTCCTGAGTACTTTGTATGGTCACCTAAGGAAAAAATGTGGACACGTCGAAAACAACGTACTGTAATTGGACGTGTTGTAACATGTCATCCAACAGAAGGAGAAAGATATTATCTTAGATTATTATTGATGAACGTTAGAGGACCAAACTCATATCAGGACTTATGTAAAGTTGACGGCAAATGTTGTAGTACATTTAGAGAGGCCGCAGAAAAAAGAGGATTGTTACAATGTGATAACAACTTGGTTGAATATATGTCTGAAGCTACAAATTATCAAATGCCATATAGTTTAAGGCGTTTGTTTGCAACATTATTAGTGTACTGTAATCCTGCTAATCCAACGGAACTTTAGAAACAATTTGAAGATTCAATGTCCGAAGATTTTAAGATTCTACCTAACATGAATGCTAAAGATATTCGTTTTATGGCTTTAAATCATATCAATGATATTTTGCATTTGATGGGACATGATATTAATGAATATAATCTAATTCCTGAGAAAATTAAACCTTCAGCTGCTGTAAGAGAAACCAATGACTATCATTTTGAAAGAAACATCATTGTTAGAGAAGAAGATTTGCTTCTAGAGAGAAAATTAAATATCGAACAACGAAAAGCGTATGACACGATTCTTAATAGAATATTTTCTAACAAATCAGGAGCATTTTTCCATGTATGGACCTGGAGGAAACTGAAAAAACTTTTCTATACCGTGTCTTTATTACGTCTCGTCTGTACGATCTAAAAGGTTTTGTC